CTCCCTCCCTCCCCTCTCTCTCTCTCTCTCTCTCTCTCTCTCTCTCGCTCGTTCGAGCCACCCTCCAATCTGTCGATCGAGCACGTGACTCGATACACTCAGGCCTTGTGAAAATGCTTCGTAGAAAATTGAAGTGTCCTCCTTCTTCCTCCCCCCGCTTTGTGCGCTGGTTTCTGCGTTAGAGGCTCGCGTTTATCGATAAATTCGAGAGATCATCGAACATCTGCACGCACCACCGTGAACTAGTTCCCTCTCCTTCCGGTGCTCGTTATCTGGATATCTCGCGCGACATTTACATTTACATTTACTACACAGAAGAAAGAGATATGGTGCACATAACTGAAAATATTTAGTTGTGAGCGGCATAGTCATATCAGCGTAGTTATCTTTGTCTGATTTCGAGTTGAAGTTTTGATTCTACTTTTGATCTCAATATTACATTCAACGCCTATTTTAATACTCTGAAACCTATGTCGACTTCTTTTGATTCTATATAACCTTTGCATCTACTAGTGAATTTACTAGTGACGTTTTCTACCATTTAGAAGCGCTTCTAGGACTTCAATTTTCATGAGTATCAAACATATACTGACTCTTAAGGATATGCAGATGCTAGAAAATTTATATCTAAGAGGTAGAGCTAAAATTTCAATTGAGGATAGTAATTATAGTTAATATGATTCACAGTTACTTTGGTACATTAACTACATCGATGTAGTTGCGCGTGATCTGGTCGTGGCAACCAGAAATCGATTAAGGTAATACTCGTCGAATACATGCAAATTGTAGTAGCCAAATATCGTCTCTGCTGTAACGCCAGTAACTTAGAAATTGGTTGTAGTTTCAGCAACCACATAATTGGTTGTTCTGTACTTTATTTTTGAATTTGAGCTGGCACAATCAGATTTATGTATGGATCAACCATACTGTTTTTGTGTAATTTAAAAAATCGACAGTCACGTGTATACGTGAATCCCAGCGGGCATTCGCAATTCCAGCGTTTGCCTACTCGAGTAAAGCGCGCGGTTAAAATTCACGGCTTGGTATCGCATTACTGTCATCGGGCCATTCTTACGCGTTATCTCGCCCTTATATGCATACGGAAGGAAGGGTAATGCAGCGCGGAGACGAGCGCAGATATGAAGGTACATGACTTACGGGACGTTCCCCGGGTCCCAAGATGGAGAGCCATAAGCCGCTCGTTTCCTTGCAAGAAAGATTCTAGGTGGAATCACCGTCAAAGGCGACGCCGCGGAAGCCGTCGACGTCCCCCGAGATTGATGCCCGTAGGCGAATTTAAAAGTGACAGGGTGAAGGATCGAGGCTACTTTCGAAACATCGAGGTAACATTATAAATAGGGTGAGATACACTCATCGGCGTTACGACGAAAATCTCAGAACGTAGCTAGATAAATGCACGATGGCGTTTTAAATTGAAAGTGCTGAGGGGGGGAGGGGGCAGAGAGAGAGAGAGAGAGAGAGAGAGAGAGAGAGAGAGAGAGAGAATGGAAACTTCTATTCGGTTTCAAACAAGGTTAAATATTAACGATGTAATCTCCTCGTTCAACATTTCTCGCGCAATATATTAGCGAGCAACTCCCTCCTATACCGAAAATTAATATTCTTGTTTTTAGAAAAATCCTCTAAAATAGGCACCAAGTATAAAATATTCTAAATATAAGATTTATTCCTCTTATTTTGAGAAACTCTTGTCTCTGTGTAGAGAATTTTCTCTCAAACAAGAGGAATAAATCTTATGTTTAGAATATTTTATACTTGGTGCCTATTTTAGAGGATTTTTCTAAGAACAAGAATATCAATTTTTAGTAAGGAAAAAAAGATCATTGCTCGATGACGCGAGATCATTTGAAAGAAAGAGTTTATAGGGATTAATGATACGCGGTAGTGCATGTTTAAAATAAAAATATCAGCTTCTGGACACTAATAGTACCTAGTTCTACATATTCGTATTATTGTCTTGATCTTTAAATATCTGAATATATATTTAAACTTTTAATATAGAATATATATTTGTATGTTGAATATATGCATATATTCCACGCTGAAAGTTTTAATATTCGTATTAAAATTCGAAACATTAGAAATATTCAAAGTTAGGTACCAGTGTTATCAGCGTCTAGAAACATTGATATTTTTATTTTAATATCTGATATTGAAAATTGGGTAACCAGTATTAGAATAATCCTTTTATTAACAAATCTTTAACTAATCGTATAAAATGTATTGTACACGCTGATATTTTTGTACAATTTGATATTTCTAGAGATTATGACACAGCGAAACGATAGTTTCTCCACCCAAGGGGTTTTCGTCGATAGGAAAAATGCGTGTAAGCCGGACTCAGATTTCGAGGCGTATAATTACACGAATGAAATATACCGCGCGGGCACAGTTCCACCACGAAATTGCCAGGCAGCTGAATTTCGTCGACCTGCTTTCCTCCCAATGGTCAAATTCGAGTTCTCGATAATCGATGTCCCGTGATTAACACCCCTCTCAATTTCTGCGTTAAACCACCGGGCGATGACTCGGTCACCCCGGCAGGAACACTGACATGATCTACGCAGGCAACTCTCGTAATTACAAGCCATTCGCGTGCCGACAAATTTTTATTAGTTCTGCCGTGGCGCCGTTAGTGGAACACTCGCCGTAACACGAACTTTTCGTACGTGGAACGCCGCGCGGCGTTTCTCGTGACGAGGTGCCGTACATTACGCGTCGTATCCTCGCCTATCGCCCGCGAAGGTCTCAGCCCCCTGTCCCGCTCGATTTCTTTCGCGATTAATCTCCTCGTTCGGCCGAGCTACCACCCCATTACCGAGCGAGATGCTTTCCGTTATATCGGCGTTTAACCTGAATTCGCTTCTAATCGTTTCTCCAAACGCGAACTCACGCGGCAACAGGACGCTCGGATCCTCTCGATTGCTCATTCTCGTGCCCCACGTGTTTTCGCACGTCACACGCAAAATCTGCTGCGGAATCACTTGGTTACGGAACGCAGGCGTTGCGTGCCGCCCGGATCGATAACTTAAACATTGTAACACAGGGGAGAAAGTTGAGCGTAAGTATCAGTAATTACAATAATGAGCGCAAATATATAAGGAACATTCTGATGTGACGTGTACTTACGCCATTAGCGTGATGCATCGTGTCTCGCCAATTGCTCCGGCACGAAACGCGCTGTTACACATTTACGCGTGCGCGTTCGGAAACAGTTACGGTGGTGGTCTCCGCTTCGGCGGTATTGATGAGTTCCACGCGATTCACTCCAGCGGCAGCGCAGACCGACCGGACAGTCGGTCGGTCGGTCGGTCTCGATGGTTAAATACCGGGTGACCGTGGAAGTCGGTAATTTTTGTCGGAGGGTCCCGGAAGAGAAATCGACGCGATCGAGCATCCCGCGGCCGACCGAAGTGAGGAAAAAGCTCTCCCGAAAATCTCTATGCAAATGGGGATCGCCTGGTCGGCGGGGTTGGCGATTTTAGTTTTTGGCGCTGCGGGGCCTATCGCACGCCACCTCCCGCTGACCATGATTGACAGGGCTGTGCGGAACACGCGTGTCGTCCAACCCCGCTGTCAAAGGAAGCAGCGAGGGGCGGCAAGTTGGTAGAGAGTGAGGAAGCGCGAGAGAGCGAGAGAGGATAAGGAGCGAGCGGGAGGACGGCAGTGCCTGCAATGGCGGATCGTCGAGGGTCCTTCAACGTTGCCACCCCAGTCATTACTTCGGCATTAACGGGGGATGATTCTCCTTCCCTCTTTCGCGGATTCACCGGTTCATCGAGTGCTCGAGAGAGCCCGCGCACGAGAAAGGGAGAAAGAGAAAGAGAGAGGAAGAGAGAAAGAGATAGCCGCGCAGAAGGGGAGAAAGGTGACTCCTCGCCGGGGCGCGGATGTCGTGCGAAGTTAAATCTGTGGATTTACGAGCGCGTCACTACGCTATTTCGCCAATATTTCGTTTTTTGCATCTCACGTTATATCTCGTGTCAACAATCGTCTTTCTCAGCGAGCGCGCTTCGATAACGCGAAAGTAATTTCACAGAGTTTTGCAAAGTTTCGCAGACAGCAGCCAGAACAGAAGAATACGATTAGAATAGTGAATGAACGAAGCTGGTGTGTCACCCTTGGGCTTGTGTTAATAGTCATTACTTGAAGCTCGTTTAAAGTGACAGATTTGAATTTAGAGTTAAATGAGAGTTTTCTAGTTAAATTGAAATTATTAATGCCGTGTCACGCGTATAATTTGATTTAATTAAAAACTTCAAGTCTATCTTGAAATTTAGATCTCGACATTTTATGTGAGACAAGCTTCAGGTAACGACTATTATAGTGTGAACCTATAACTATTAAGGGAATGCCGGACATGAAAACTTCACCGACATAACATTGATTTTTTTCTGCAAAATTTACATCTTGTTGCTTGCATAGAATTACAAATGCTTTTATACAATAAAAGTGTTATGGTGTGACGCTCGAGCACGTGCTCACGAACGCGTTTACATGACTCGCCCCCCCCCCCCCCCC